TTCCTAATAGAAGTGAAAGTGCCACATTACAATCAGCGGAATGTTGGCGTTTCATTTGTCTCGAAACCTCTAGTCATTATCAACATTTGTATATATAATTGTTTTCATTTTGTCCTTTAGAAGCATCCGTTTTGATTCCCAATCTGAAAAACAAAAACGTTAAATACATACATTATGTCTATAATACATATAGAGATAACATAAATGCACCACCTTCTTAGTTTTGTGTCTACAGATAGTTCCAAAATCATTTGAGAGTAGTTGATAAATATACTAAAAACTTGTTAAACTCTAATAAAAATAAGTGCTGTCTGCAAAAGAATTAATACTCTACTTTGGTTAAACTAGAAATGTTGGTGGAAAGATGTGAACTCAAATCTCAAAATTTCTAAAAGGGAAAGGAGAAGGCAAAGTAGAGACAGGAGGGGGGCATAGCCTCCACAGCTTAAGTACTAGTAATATGAAATTAACAAGTAAATAGAAGACAGAGACGAGGAATCTTTCTGGTGGCATTTATTTAGTATACTTCCCCAATTAAGTGAGGGAATGTTTAGTAATCTAAATTTAGGAAATTTGGTCATTAGTTGATAGTTTGTCCTAATTAAGGCCCACATAATTGGGTCAAGATTAATACAAATGGAACCACTCTAATGTTGGTTTAAGTTTAGGTAGCTTCAACTATTTTTTTTATTCGTAACCTCACGTACCTTCATCCAACAACCTTTTTCCTTTTTTTCTAATTCGTTATTACTGTATCCCTTTTTCTAAACTGTTGTGACTTGCTTGCACGAGCCGAAGGTTTATTGGAAACAATGTACATATGGGTGTATGCATCTTATATCATATGGTGTCACGGGATACCGCTTCGTCGAAATTTTTTCATTAGATATTTATAAGAAAAATAAAAATATCGGTAAAAATAGCACGGTATAGCCATTTTTCGGACTGGTCATTCAAAAATAGCCAGCGTTTACGAAGTCAATGAAAAGTAGCCACTATTTTGCTGCAACAGAGACCGGTCCAGCATAATATACTGGAGTTCGGTGCACCTGTGTATGAACTCCAACATATTATGCTGGACCGGTATACTTTGCTGACTCCAGTATAATATACTGGAGACTGAGCACCGGTGCTCCAAACTCCAGTATATTATACTGGACAATTATACTTGCTGGAACTCCAGTATATTATGCTGGAGTTCTAGTGTACTTATGCTGGAACTCTATCATATTATGCTGGAGTTCCAACATACTTATCCTGGAACTCCAGTATAATATACTTGCGTATTTTCCGGGTTTTGAACAGTGTTTTCGCTCAGATTTATCTTTACATGAAAAGTGGCTAAATTTCGATTACTTTTGAAACTGGGCTATTTTTGAACGATCAGTTGTAAATCTGGCTATTTTTAAATTTCTCCCAAATATCGAGGATACGTATAGAAAATGATACCGCTTGTCATTATAGTAATTTATTCATTTTCGTCTCTTCAAATTATGATACCGCTTATGCAAAATCCTGTATATGCCACTGTCTCAACGTAGGGGTAAGATCTGTGCATACACTACTCTCCCCAGACTCTATTAATGGAATTATACTGGGTACGTTGTTGTTGGTGAGAGAAAATGTGTAGGGATGGGGACCTCTTTTTTGGTTTTGTCTTATCTTTAGATTTTGTCCGAACCTCACCCTACACGGCCTTATAAAGCAAATCAAACCTCTTCCTTTCAACTTCTCACTTGGCTTATTCTTATCATTGTAGAAAGTAGGCAAGTGAAGGTGCTAATTAATATAGCTAGAAAAAGTAATTTAATGTCTAGCAGTAGAAGATCAAGTTCAAGATTCAGTCAAGATGAGATTAATGATCTCGTCTTGAAACTGCAATCTCTCTTGCCAAATTCCTCTTCACGTTGCACCTCGAGGGTACGTACGTCGTCCTATATTGATTATATTTTTCTATCTCCATACTTTTTTTCTTTCTTTTTTCCTTTTCCTATAGTCTAGTTCTTTGCCATCATAATGGTAGACAGTGTGCAACATAGGATTATTGTCATTAATTTTTCTTACTTGAATGCACAATCTATTTAATTGCCGCTAGTGTAACTTTACAGCTGCATGGGGAAACAATGAAGAGAGATAAGAAAGACCTACATATACATATATGGTTATCAAAGTAAGCAGAAACTACGAAATAAATTGTGAATTAAGTCATAAAAGTGGTGATTATTTATAAGCTCACCTAAACTGGTTTAGATATAATACAGAATTAATGTATAGAAACATTTTACCAAATGTGGCATTGGAAGAGTACTGTTGGATTGTCCTATAATTTTTTTTTCAAAGAAAATGGATTATTGTCTCCTAAAATTGGTCACCTCATATGAGCTAACTTTTGGGTTTAACTAAGGCCTAAGGCCCCTTTCTTCACATGGTCTAAGAGTAAGACCTTTCCCTATTCTTGATTTATCTAACATTGAGCCCCATGTTATAGTATTTACCTCCAGATGTCCAATCCTAAGCGTGCAGAATATGGGTATTAATATATATATATATATGAAAGGCCTAAGCCTAAGTCAAATTGGAAAATTTCATAATAGGCTAAGATTCCAAATGAGTTTGCACAAGTACACACTTTAAACGAGAATATATTTATATATATATATATATATATATATATATATATATAAAAGGTCAATGTCCATTTACTTAACAAAAAATGCGCCAAGGTTTTTTGTTAATTCCAAACAGAGATTTAGCTACATGCAAATTAAGTGTCTTATGGTTTAATCATTAAGTATTACACCTCATTAACTACGAAGCTTTTAAGATCCTTTTACTTTTCCTTTAACTTTTGATAGGTACCAGCATCAAAAATACTAGAGGAGACGAGTAATTACATCAGAATGCTGCACAATGAGGTGGATGATCTCAGTGAGAGGCTCTCCCAAATACTGGCTTCTGGGGACACAAATACTGTTGATCTTTTAGACACTTTAATAAGTCTTCTTCAACAGTAAAACCATCCTTCCCCAACAAAAAAGAAAGTAAACCCCAGGGATGTAGGCATCTTTGAGTGGTTGTTATGTAATTGTATTAATTAGTAGATCCTTTAGATTAGTATTTTATTACCATTTCGTGCTTCACTAAGTTACATTCCCTTGCGGCTCCTTGGTTGGTACCTAGAGTTTTATACGTGTCGCAAATATATATCTTATTCTCGTTATATATTATGGATATAAGTTATGTTTAATTGGTGTATTTGGTTCATGTTAGTAATTCTGAAATAAAAGCATCCGATAGTTGGTCCCACTGAAAAAATTTGGCTAACCTTGGATTTTCTGGTAAAGTGTGATAATCTAATGATTGGATATGATTTATGAAGTTGTGTAGATAAACCAAGATAAATGATAGAAGCATGATCTAGTAGCCCGTTTGATCAAACTTTTAAAATTAGTTTATTTTAAAAAATATTTTTTTTTAAAAAGTACTTTAAAAAAATACTTTTAGTAAAAAGCAGTTTGTTTTAATTAATTAATTAATTCGAAAAATACTTTTAAATAACAATTAGTGTATGTCCAGGCTTTTAGAAAGTATTTTGAAGTATAATTTTCTCAAAAGTACTTTATAAAAAGTAACTTTGGGGAAAATCTACTTTTTTCCACTTACCATGCTTTTACTCATAAGCATTTTTTTTCTTCTAAAAGTTTGATCAAACACTTTAACTTTGATTAAAAAAAACACTTTTGACAACACTTTTGGTCAAAAAGAAACTTTGCCAAACACGATAGGCTAGAGGAATATATGCCACTGCAGTATTCATTTAACCAAAAAAAAAAAATCAGGAAATCACATCAGGCCACGAGTATTTCTCGTGATTTCTCATCTAGTGTATCAAATGGATCCTTGAAACACCATCTCTGTTAATACCATACATAATTCAAAATTTAAAGTCATAGGTAGTAAATCTGTTAACTCCGTTTGCGTCTGAATTTAAAAACAGATTTTGGATATTATAATTTGTATTTATTTCTGGTAGAGCAAGAGCCGAGGGTCCATAAAAAAAAAAAAAAAGAAGAGCCAATTAAGGGTGAAGGTGCATGTTACTCCAAGAGAGACACACATGATAGAAATTATAAATTCTACGTATTATTTAAAGCTCCACCTTTATAAACTTGTCTTACATTTATTTGGAACGACTTTTTCTGTCTATACTAGCACTTTTTGAAATTAACCAACAAAGGGAACTCAAAAATCAGATAGACATGACATGACGATGTCGAAATGCTACATAGCTTCACCCCTCTTATCACCCTTACCCCAACCCAAAGAAATGGACAAAATAGAAAGAAAGAAATTGCACAATCATATTGTTACTGGCTTAAAGCTTAGTGAAATTTAATCTTTTGGGAACAAAAACTCGTGTGATCTAAGAAGAAAAGTAATTAGAACGACTAAAGAATTGGTTAAACAAACGACTTTATGTTACTTTGCCTGCATATAATATGGAGAATTCCAGTCTGATAAGTGATAAGGAAAATTTGGCTTGAATTCCTGATAATATTGGTCGCAATTAGGAAAGAATGATTGCTTTTCATCACATAGTAGCAAAATACTCTTCGACCTTTTGTCACGAGAGGGAAAGCACCAAGCAGGCAAAGGAAATCATGACCCTAAAAAGGGAATACACAACAAAACTCATTTCGTCCAGAAGCGGGCTCTTTCTTTCTGCCTGGTAAATAATAGTAATAGCATAAGGAAAATGAACCCCTCTTTCATCTTCTGCTCTTTCTCTTCTCCTTTTATCTTCTGATTTAGTCTATTAATCTTGAGCACTGAGCCTCATCTAGGTGTGAGATATCTTTACCATTTACGGGTCCTTTCATATAATGGATAAGCAAAAATAATCTTAGGATAATAATTTGGTACCGCTTTATCCTTATTCAGTTATTAATCCTGGGAAAATTTATTCCATGATTATAAATAGTACCAGGATAACTTATATCTGTCAGAAGATGGAATAGTAATCCAAGGATAAAACAGTAAAATTGACAATCCCAGAATTAATACAACATACCAAATAATCAATAAGAAATAATAACATGATAACTAATCCCATCATAATTAATCTCAATATAACTAATCTCAGCATAATTAAACCCAGCATAAATTGTCTTCAACCCAAACGACCCCTTAGTAAGCTTTAATTTTTAGCTTTTTCCTGGGACATAAAAGGAGTTGATCTTGATCGAAGTGAAAGGATTTATGAATTCATACCCTGTTCAAGGGAACAGGCAAGAAACTTTCAATAGCACCTCTAACACAATATTTGCTTCAGATCAATAAATATATTTACAAAGTTTCTTTACACATGGCTTTATCTCTTAACTATGAATCAATTAATATATATTCTGATCCATTAATATATATACTTTAAACACATTTGTGGGATTCTCTAGGGATAAGGTCTGCCTACATATACTATCCTCCACAGATCCCACCTGTGGAATTATACTGAGTTTGTTGTTGGTGTTGTGGGATGTGGCTAAGGATACAGCAACCGGCGTTGCAAAATTCTTTATCATATAGTTGGAGCGGTCGTCTTTCTCATTCTAATTATCATAGTATAAAAGATCTTTATAATGTCAACATATAACTTTAAACACTTTTGGGATGAAAATTACTTCATCTATGGAGTTGAAGATGTTATTGGTATTAGTCATAGTTAAAGAAAATCTTAATAAAATGATCAAAATGTGGTTTTTAAAAGAGAAAATTAACTCAAAATTTACAATTTAGTAACTAGTTTGATGAATTTACACCAGCAATATTAAATAAGACACAATAAAAAGAAAAAAAAGGTACAGGGTGTTCAATTGAAATGTTAACTCACAGTAACAGCTTGAAGTCTCAATGCAAAGTGATACCAAACTTTTGAAGAAGGCTAGGCATATTACTGAGAATTGCTAAGGTGTTGCTCATGTACTCTTTAGCATTCTGCACCCGCGCTTTCACTTCCCCAACCAAGGGCGATCCCATTTCATCCAGTCCCTCCAAACACGTGTCCTGATCAGTCATTGAAGCGCTGATCCATGTTTGCATATCCTTCACCTTCTTATCCGTCAAAGCCTTCTCACCGGGACCCACTTGGAGCAACTCGGCCGACTGGTTGAGTTGACTCAGCGCGTCATCGAACAAGCTGACGCAGTCCTTCAACGCCGATACTGTTCCCGGGTCATTGACTTTCGAGATCAGCGATTTCGGGAGCGAAGAAACGTTGGTTAATTCTCTAATTGTTGCTTGAAGGGAAAGATTCAGGAATTGTTCCGGGTCGGGTTTTTGTGGGCTGCTGTGGAGGGAAGATATGGAATCAAAGCATGACTCGGGATGCTGAGTCACTGCGCACACGGCTTTGAGCGAATCGGCCGAGTTGGATGATACAGAAGGTGTGCGGTCTTTGGAGTTGGACGCGTGGATAAACGCGCCGACCAATGCGCAGATGAGTAGAGTTAGGAAGAGGGTGAGGGTGAGGGCGATGGCGAGGCGGCGCTTGTGGGCGGCTCTGCGAGTAGACAAAGAAGAAGCTGGATCTTCTGAAAGGTTAATTTTGCCATAGCCTTTGACTAAGTTCAGAGATTCCATAGAAATGAAAGGGAAAAGAGAATTGAGCAAAGAGGGAAGAAAAGTTGTAAGACACGGTTTGAGGACTTTGGATAAGAATTTGGGTAGGTATACTCTGCGGGCAAATGTTAACTGTAAGCACGTCCTGCTCTTTTTCTTTTCATTAAATTTGCCGATAAATCAAAAGTTATACTACTAACAAGAGAAATTCAAAAATAATCAGATTTACAGGTGGTTATCAAAAGTAGCCGCATCTTCAAAAGTAATCGAAATTTATACTGGAGTTCCAGCATAATATGTTGGAAGTTCATACACAGGTGCACACTGATCTCCAGTATATTATGCTGGAACTTTCTGTGTTGCAATAAAATAGTGATTATTTTTCAATGACTTTGCAAACGCTAGCTATTTTTGATTGATTAACCCGAAAACTGGCTAGCCCGTACTATTTTTACAACAATTGATGACGAATTTCGATTATTAATTATTGTACTACATCAATTTGGATAGTAGCAGTTTTATGTTTAAAATGATATTTACATATTTAATACCAACATTATATTTAATAAATATTTGAAATATAGTTTGACTGTTAAAATAAAAATAGTGCTATATAAGACGAGACAGGTGGCAACAAGTATAACTTTTCTGTTGTCTTATTATTAACCCTTGTCTTTCTTAAATTTTTGTATTTGAAATTTATACTAGTTAAGTATATTATTTGTAGGTAAACTCATTGGCGGTGCAAATATATTCGTTAAAAAGTAATTTAATTGTTCTTCTTGATTATGACACGTGACGCAGTGTTAAAGCGATATTAGAGGTTTGGCGGCAAATTCTTGAGTCTAAAGGTTTAAAGTTAAGCAGGATTATTGTCAACTTTTAACAATGTAAAAGAGAGATTGAAGAGAGGATAAGAACAGAAGAAGACTTGGAGAGAAAAATTTAACAGATTCTCATTTCTTCTGCTTGCTACAGTAGTGTGTAGTAGATCATATATATACACAACTTCTAACCGACTTCACTAACTAACTCGAATTACATAAATAGCCAATGTATTAACTAACTAGCCAACTAATACACAACAGCTTATATTCTCAACACTCCCCCTTAAGCTAATGCTTTGAATATATTCTCAACACCAAGTTGATTTAACAGGGCCTCATGTTGTGCTTTTCCAATGCTCTTGGTCAGTAGATCTGCTAGTTGATCCTTTGTTGAGAGATGATGGGTTGTGATTACTCCTTGACTCAACTTTTCCCTTACAAAATGACAGTCAATATCTATATGTTTGGTTCGTTCATGGAATATAGGATTAGCTGTTATTTGGATAGCAGCTTTGCTATCACAGAACAAATTAACAGGCTGCTGCACTTCAACCCCAAGTTCCTTGAACAACCCTATTAGCCATGTAACTTCTGCTACACAGGATGTCATGCTTCTGAACTCAGCTTCAGTTGAACTTCTAGCCACAGTCTCTTGTTTCTTAGATTTCCATGACACCAAGGCATCTCCAAATTTTACAAGATATCCTGTGACAGACCTTCTAGTCTGCATACATGAGCCCCAATCTGAGTCACAGAAAGCTTGTAGTTGTTTGGTTTCTGTTGCTAGCATTAGGAGTCCCAGACCTGGTGATGCTTTCAGATATCTAACAATCCTTAGGGCAACTTTCATGTGAGATTGTTTTGGAGCATGCATATACTGACTTAGCACCTGTACTCCAAATGAGATGTCTGGTCTAGTCATGGTCAAATATAAGAGTCTCCCTACAAGCCTTTGGTATTCCCCAGCATCATCTAATATAGGATCCTCATGACCTGTACCTCTGTTGTCATATTCAATTGAGGTAAGTTTCTGATTGCACTCCAAGGGAGTTCCAACTGTTTTTGCTCCTCCTAGGCCAAGTTCAGAGATCAACTCCAAGGAATACTTTCTTTGGCACATATGTATTCCTTTGTTTGACCTGGCAAATTCAATGCCTAAGAAGAATTTTAGTTCTCCTAGGTCTTTCATCTTAAACTTTTTCTGAAAATCTTCCCTAGTTTTGACCAGTAAATCATTGTTGCTTCCTGTAATGATCAGATCATCCACATATATAAGAATTACAACTATGTCACCTTCTAGTTGCTGTGTGAAAAGTGAGTAGTCAAAATGGCTTTGAATTTATCCCAGTTGCTGCAGTGCCTCAGTCAGCTTGAGATTCCACTGCCTTGGTGATTGTTTCAGATAATACAGTGATTTTTGTAGTTTGCAGACTCGTTTGGTCTCCCCCTGTCTAGCAAACCCATCTGGAATAGTCATATAGACTTCCTCCAAAAGATCATCTTGAAAAAAAGCATTGTGAACATCCATTTGATAGATGAACCGATATCTTGAAGCTGCCAAAGCTACCACTGATCTGACAGTGACCATTTTGGCTACTGGGGAGAAGGTTTCTTTGTAGTCTAACCCTGCTTGTTGACTATAACCCTTGGCTACCAATCTTTCCTTATATCTCTCCACTTCTCCTGAAGATTTATATTTGACTTTGAACACCATTTGCAACCAATAGGTGCATATTCTACGGTTATGAGGATTCACCTGTGTGTTGCTATGGTTCTCCTGAAGTGAGTTAAGTGAAAAGTTTTATATGATGAACTGTTAATCTATTACTGATTACGGAGTTATGATGAAAATCGTGTTCTATCATATATTGGCATGCTGGGTGCAGTGAGTGGTATGGAATTTGAAGTGAGGATCAAGGTTTCAGTTCGGTGTTGACAAGGATGTCACGAGCTCGGATGATCAGTGAAGGAGTTTCGATGTTTAAAGTAAGTGGGTATCGTGTTTAGCATCACCTGAGATTGGTGTTTTGTGAAAAAGTCCTTGCATCCTGGCTATGGATTCTTGAACGCTTTCNATATTTCTGAACGACTGTTCTAAACTCTTGACCTTTCGTATCATCTCCTCCTGCTCAGGGTTTTTGGGAGGCTTTTCTTCTTCAGCTGAGAGATCAAGACGGGGAGTGTAAGAGCATGGTTCTGGTGGTTTAAAGGTGGATTCATATGGGTAATAGGGGTTTTCATGGGTTTGGAACAGAGGTTCACTAGAGGATCCGTGTAATGCGGCGGGTGGAGGAGCCACAAACACAGGAGTAGTTGGTGGTAGAGGGCATGGAATTTGTTTGGGTGGTTAGGTGTGATTGGATGTAAGGAATGATCTGTATTGGTGGATGGATTTAAAGGTGCAGGGCTTTCTGTAGCTAAGTCTTCTTGTATGGTTTGAGGGGTTGTTGTATTGTTAGGAGTGGTGTTTGGATTATTTCTAGGTGGGTTAGATGTAGATTCTAGTACTGGAAACAGCGGAAGAGTAGAAGGAGTGAAGTGTCTAAAAGGAAATAGGTCTTCTCTGAACACTACATTCCTGCTCACAAAGAATGACTTAGCATGTAGATCATAGAGTTTGTAACCCTTTTGAGTAGAGGAATATCCCATTAAGGCAGCAGGAATGGCTCTAGGTGACATCTTATCAGTAATATTGGGGTTTGATGCATAGGCAAGACAACCAAAGTTTTTAAATGATCAAGATTAGGAGGATGTGAATGTAGCATTTCAAAAGAGGATTTTACACTGTAGGATGATAGAAGGTAACCTGTTAAGCAGATAAACAGCAGTAGAAACACACTCTCCCCAAGACTTCAGAGGCACAACTCCTTGAAACCTTAAGGACCTGGCTACATTTAGAATAGATCTATGCTTCCTCTCTACTACACCATTTTGCTGAGGTGTATAAACACAAGAGCTTTGATGTACAACCATTTTCTTTAATCAACTCATCAAACTGGGAGTTAAAGAATTCACAGCCATTGTCTGTTCTTAATGTTTGAACGTTAGAGTTGAACATATTCTTCACTAAAGCTAGAAACTGCTTCACAATGACAAAAGTTTCAGCTTTATTATTCAACCGAAATATCCAAGTATACCTAGAAAAGTTCTCCACCAATGTTAGGAAATATCTCTTACCATCATGTGTAGGTACTCTATAAGGACCACATACATCACCATGTACTAGCTAAAAAGGCTTATTTGAACTAGTAGTGCTGATAGGAAATGAAAGTCTAGACTGTTTCCCTAGTGGACATACAGGACAGTGATGATTTTTGTCTAGTTTGCAATGCTTCAAAAACTTTATTTTTCTGAGCATATCTGAAGGAGCATGCCCTAGTCTATTATGCCATACAGATAGTGGCACATTAGTAGACACGGAGTAGCACTCTTCTTTACTGTCAGACCCTTGTAGTTGTGGTTGAGTAAGTGGTGTTGTAGGAGTTGGAGATGACTTCAGATAGTACAGTCCACAATCTTCTCTACCAATCCCCCTCACCTGCCCACTGAAGAGGTCCTGGAATAGGAAAAAATCAGGAAAGAATGCCACACAACACTTCAGTTCCTTTGTCAATTTTGACACAGACAAAAGGTTAAACTTGAAGTCAGGAATGTGCAACACATTGTGTAGATCCTGATTTCTGAGTATACTAGATGTTCCTGTATTTGATATTGACACCACATTACCATTTGGAAGATGCACATTTCCACATTTTAAACTAGACTCCTTGTCTAATTTAGTCAACAACTTAGAATTTCCTACCATATGATTAGTAGCTCCAGTATCAATTATCCACCTATCATCAACTATACTGGATAGGAATGCAAATATACCTCCTGCTGCTGGTTGAGCAGAGCTTATTGCTTCCTCATTTACCTTACCAAGCATATGTAGGACTTGCTTATACTGTTCTGGAGTAAAGTATAGTGCTGAGGGAAGTGGTGTTGCTGGGTGAGACTGAGGTTGACTCCTTTCCCCATGATTTCCTCCACTGTTATTACCTGCAAAATTAGCTGCTAAAAATACATCATGACTTCCATTAGTAGACATTAGTGTTCCTGAATTACCAGTGTTTCCTGCAAAGTTGGCTGTAGGAAATGAATTTCCTTTCTTCTTATGCTTAAAATCAGCAGGATAACCAACTAATTTGAAACAATTCTCTCTGGTATGTCCCTTGTAGTTGCAGTAGTCATAGACTAGGTTAAAAATTTTCTTTGGCCTTTGCTGAAATCCACCTTTAGTAGACACAAAAGCAGTAAGGTCAGGATTCTCTACT